TCAACCCACTATAGCCAATAAAATATTCTTCAGAAATAAAGGTGAAATAAAGACATTCTCAAATTAAGGAAATCTATGTGAATTCATAGCCAACAAACCTATTCTAAAAAAAACACTAATGGAAGTTTTTTAGACAGAAGGAAAATGATACCAGAAGGCAACTTGGAGCATCAGGAATAAAGGAAGGGCAACAAAAATGGTAAACATCTAGGTATATATAATATTCTCCTCGAGTCTTTTAAAATATGTTTGATGGTTAAAAGTAATTCCTAGAGTAACCACGAAAACAGATGGATGGATGGATGCACACATACATACATATATATGTGTAGTCAAAAACACAACAGATGAATTAAGATAAAATACCAAAAAAAAAGTTCCAAGAACCCAAAATCAGGCAGAAAAGGGCACATTTTTTCCATACCAGTGCTCCCTGGATCCTCAGAACTTGTATCAATATTAGTATAGTGCTCTAATTTATTCACCAGTTGTGTTTCAATCTGATGAAGACTATGATCTTTGATAGCATTTTCTACATCTTCAGTGAATTTAATCTGCTCCGCCAAGCATAGTATCTATTGAATAAAGAGAAAAATTATTTTTAAAGGTGAATTTACTTAGCAATATTTTATAAATTTAAGGAACAATACTTTTCCAAGTTGCCAACTGTATATTGTATCTCTACGTAAATATTATACTGGCACCTCAAATATTAATAGAGCAATACAGCAGCAGAAAAAGCATTGTGTGATACAGCCAAGCCTACTTCTCAGAACCCATCTCACAATACAGTCTCCTACAGGCCTATTTTCTGGTCTTAGAATCCACCAAGTTTATTGTAACCTTAAGTGCCTTCGTACTTTTTTCTCCTGACTCTCCTCATAAATGGCTTCTCTTTGACCAGTAGGATGCAAAGATATCAAAGTATGAATGCATCCTATTTAATAAAAGGGCAGTCTTCCAGCATTTCAAAATAATCTCTCAGTATTGAAGTCTACAACACCAAAATTCCAACTTTATCTTAACTTAAAATCTATCTTAATTTTTCAAATAGCCATAAACAAGAACTAGCTATAGATCAAGACACATATCTTTATATAAAACACAAAATGTTAGCACTGCCTGAGAGACTTTCTGTAATGGTATCAATAAGGCAAAGAAACTGATAAAACAAATTATTAAGACCAGTCTTTGAAAACTTTTATCAAAACAGTTTGATACAATTCTTAGATGAACAAGGAAAATCGACAGTCTCCTTAAAACTAAAGACACGATCCATATAAAAGCACTACCCCTGTTGACCAATTATTATTGACCAAATTATTTTTTTCTGATACATACTTTTCAGCATCCA